CACTGTCATATAGTTGTCTGTAAGCCATTCACCATAGGACTCAGTGATGTCACTTTTTCTTGACATTGATAACCTTAGCTGCAAGGGTTCTCTCAGGGAGCTGTTGTAGCCGAGTGGTTGAAGCTGTCACTCGTCATGCCAAAGACCTGGGTTCAATTCCCCACATGGTACAATGGGAAAAGACTATTTGTGGTGTTGCCTGTTGTGATAATGCCAGAATATTGCAAGAAAGGGGTGTAGAACCATACTCACTCACTCACTCACACACTCACTGAACCAGACTGGTGTGAACATAGCCTTTAGTGTAGGTCTCTGTCCCAAGTATGGGACAACTGTACATATCGCCTAAAAGATGTGCAGTTGGTCATTTTAGCGATTAAAATCTTCAGAGAGATCACAAAATGAATGAGTGTATGAGATCAGGGGGTGCTTACCTAATGTGTATTGTCTGCACGTCATGTGCTTCGGAACAACTTGTGTCTCATTTCCTCTGCACTTGTGACATCTTCACTGACCTTGTTCTCTGTCACTGCTAGACATGAAGTGGCTTATGGAGGATTCGTGTAAGTAACTCTCTCACTCTTTATACTTTGTGTATATCTGTGTCTGTATCTCACGGTCTGGTTTATACTTTGTGTATATCTGTGACTGTATCTCACGGTCCGGTTTATACTTTGTGTATATCTGTGACTGTATCTCACGGTCCGGTTTATACTTTGTGTATATCTGTGACTGTATCTCACGGTCTGGTTTATACTTTGTGTATATCTGTGTCTGTATCTCACGGTCCGGTTTATACTTTGTGTATATCTGTGACTGTATCTCACAGTCCGGTTTATACTTTGTGTATATCTGTGACTGTATCTCACGGTCCAGTTTATACTTTGTGTATATCTGTGACTGTATCTCACAGTCCGGTTTATACTTTGTGTATATCTGTGACTGTATCTCACGGTCCAGTTTATACTTTGTGTATATCTGTGTCTGTATCTCACGGTCCAGTTTATACTTTGTGTATATCTGTGTCTGTATCTGACGGTCCGGTTTATACTTTGTGTATATCTGTGACTGTATCTCACGGTCTGGTTTATACTTTGTGTATATCTGTGTCTGTATCTCACGGTCCAGTTTATACTTTGTGTATATCTGTGACTGTATCTCACGGTCCGGTTTATACTTTGTGTATATCTGTGACTGTATCTCACGGTCTGGTTTATACTTTGTGTATATCTGTGACTGTATCTCACGGTCCGGTTTATACTTTGTGTATATCTGTGACTGTATCTCACGGTCTGGTTTATACTTTGTGTATATCTGTGACTGTATCTCACGGTCCGGTTTATACTTTGTGTATATCTGTGACTGTATCTCACGGTCTGGTTTATACTTTGTGTACTGTATCTCACAGTCTGTACTTTGTGTATCTGTGTCTGTATCTCGGTCCGGTTTATACTTTGTGTATATCTGTGACTGTATCTCACGGTCCGGTTTATACTTTGTGTATATCTGTGACTGTATCTCACGGTCTGGTTTATACTTTGTGTATATCTGTGACTGTATCTCACAGTCCGGTTTATACTTTGTGTATATCTGTGTCTGTATCTCACGGTCCGGTTTATACTTTGTGTATATCTGTGACTGTATCTCACAGTCCGGTTTATACTTTGTGTATATCTGTGTCTGTATCTCACGGTCCGGTTTATACTTTGTGTATATCTGTGTCTGTACCCTAGGTCCGGTTTATACTTTGTGTATATCTGTGTCTGTATCTCACGGTCTGGTTTATACTTTGTGTATATCTGTGTCTCTAAATAGTATGTATAGCTGTTTTTGCAAAGCTGATCTCATCTTGCTTACATATGTCTGGTAAAGCTGTTTCAGCAGCTGAAAACTTGTTTTTAAATAACTGAAGTTGTGAGCTTGTCAGCCTTATAGTGTGACACATGAGATATCCTTGGTGTGAACAAAGTGTACAATGGTTGGAATCTACTGGAAGCAGTGTTGTACAGAGTTGAAAGGGGTATTGTTCTCATATAGAAACCCTGTAAGTACATGTGATGTAGGGTGCTGTTATTGATAGAAGCGCTGTTGTAATATGGGTGCTGTCATCCAGTAGAAACTTTGTAAGTACATATACAATTGTGATAATGGTTCTGTTATTCCATAAAAGCAGTATAGGTACATACATGTGATAATGGTTCTGTTATTCAATAGAAGCAGTATAGGTACTTATACATGTGATAATGGTGCTCATATTCCATAGAAGCCCTGTAGGTACATATACATGTGATAATGGTTCTGTTATTCCATAGAAGCTGTATCGGTACATATACATGTGATAATGGTTCTGTTATTCAATAGAAGCAGTCTAGGTACATATACATGTGACAATGGTGCTGTTATTCCATAGAAGCCCTGTAGGTACATATACATGTGATAATGGTGCTGTTATTCCATAGAAGCTGTATCGGTACATATACATGTGATAATGGTGCTGTTATTCCATAGAAGCTGTATCGGTACATATACATGTGATAATGGTGCTGTTATTCCATAGAAGCTGTATCGGTACATATACATGTGATAATGGTGCTGTTATTCAACAGAAGTGGTATCAGTACATATACGTGTGATAATGGTTCTGTTATTCCATAGAAGCTGTATCGGTACATATACATGTGATAATGGTGCTGTTATTCAACAGAAGCGATATAGGTACATATACATGTGATAACAGGCTGTTATTCAATAGAAGTGGTATCGGTACATATACATGTGATAATGGTGCTGTTATTCAATAGAAGTGGTATCGGTACATATACATGTGATAATGGGCTGTTATTCAATAGAAGTGGTATCGGTACATATACATGTGATAATGGGCTGTTATTCAATAGAAGTGGTATCAGTACATATACGTGTGATAATGGTGCTGTTATTCAATAGAAGTGGTATCAGTACATATACATGTGATAATGGGCTGTTATTCAATAGAAGTGGTATCAGTACATATACGTTTGATAATGGTGCTGTTATTCAATAGAAGTGGTATCAGTACATATACATGTGATATTGGGGCTGTTATTCAATAGAAGTGGTATCAGTACATATACATGTGATAATGGGCTGTTATTCAACAGAAGTGGTATCGGTACATATACATGTGATAATGGGCTGTTATTCAATAGAAGTGGTATCGGTACATATACGTGTGATAATGGGCTGTTATTCAACAGAAGTGGTATCCGTACATATACATGTGATATTGGTGCTGTTATTCAATAGAAGTGATATAGGTACAAAGAAAGATATTGTGTAAATGAAATTTATGAGGGGTATTTTTTGTTTTTCTAGCCAACAAATGTTTAACTTTTTTTTTAACTAGTATTTTTTACAACATTTTACATTTTTTTCTTTGCAAAAATATTATGGGCTCATTTGTAAAACACAATCAAATGGTTTGGCTGTAATATAATCCCTGGAAACATCAGACATGTGAGACCAGAGGGCTGTAAGATTGATCAACAAGGGCTCTTCTCCACCCATCACACCAAGAGCCATTTGATGATTGCTCTCTTGACAAGATACCTGCTTTATTGCTGGCTCATTGAGTGTAATTAATGACTTAATTGTAGTGCTGCAATTTGACTCATCAGCTGGTGTGTGTTACCTGGTGATCAGCTGTGTATATCTACAACAATCAGCTGTTTCTCAAACCCTGTATAAACACCACTCCTGGGAGGCAGGTTTGAGGTGAATGTTTCCTAGCTGGGATTGGTAGTGTTGATAGCTACTCATAACATTTTAAAAAGTGTCGTCAATATACAGTGGATTTGTTTTGTAAATATTTATGTCATTGAAAATATTGTTTACTTTCTGTTTTACTACAAGATACTGAGCCTGTCCAGATACTGCCTACCAAAAGGGAAGATCAGAAATCTGTTGTAGTCATATTAAAATCTCTGTGTTTTGTGTTTATAATGCTTTGAAATACAATTTATTGATTTCAGAGGAAATGCTAATAGTTTAATTAAAAAAACAAACATAGTGTCTTGTAAGTGATTATGTGTGTTGAATCCCTTTCATTTCATCGTCATCATTAAAATAATTACAAAATTCAGGTTTTGACAAAGTTGAGAGAGATAGTTCGTATAAAGATAGTCATGTCTAAGTACCCTGTTTAAAGTACTGAAATAAAATACTCTCAACAAATATTCATAAAATTCAGGCACATAAAAACTACCTTGATGAAAATTATGGTAATAAAGATCTGAAGAAGCCCAAATGCTGACAATCTCTTCCGGTTGTGGATATCGCAGAAGCGTGCTTAGTAGGAGAAAACACATCCACATGTGTGCAGAGTAACGCTAATGTGAAAACAATCCACCCCGATCATTGAGGGTCACATTCAAGGCTAACACATTAAGCCTATTAGTATATTTGACCAAACATTTGTCCATCAACTTTCAACACTAACAACGGCAGATCCAACACTGTGTCGAGTTGTAGGCTACTAATACCTGTCCACACCCATCAGGGTGTCAGATGATCCGAGCTATTGTATGTAAATCAGGCCATTGTGTGTCCCTACCCTCTTCACTAGCCCACATGGCCGACATCAAGACGTGTACACAGCCCTTAACAAAGATGTTTAAGTACAATATTAAGGAGGATGATGTGATTGTTGTTTCTGCTCAAGTGGTGACAATGATGCTAAGTGTTAATCTGTTTGTTGAGGCTGTAATTATGAGTGTTAAATGACCATCTAGGTGATTGTGGGCCTGTGTACCTTGCACAACTTCACTCAAGAACAGTATGTTTTACAATTCAGCTGTCACTGATTGGCTGGTGGATGTCAGATTTGAAGTGAGCTTCATCCCTGATGTGAAGATGTGTTGCTATTGGCTAGTCGTTGCCTGCCTGACATTGGATGGTGTGACTGCAGGGCCACGTTGTTGTATGGTCTTTGATTCCGTATGTTCAGGAAGCTGTAGACAGTAGGACTTTACCCACATTGTACACTCACCCCTCACCTGCTGTCTCCTCCCTGTGTCCAGGTTCTGTGGAAAGCTTCACCCTTCACAATCAAGGACATACATGGAACATCTTTGAGGATTTATTCTGAGAATGGTTTTCAGTTTTTTTGAGACTAAAACAATAAAGCCGTGTTTGAATTCACATAGAATTATGTATGACCGGGCATATCAGTGGCCAAATCAGCCGTGCCAGTGGCAACAGCAACAACAACAACAACAACCGCAGCAGCAGCAGCAACATCTACAGCAGAATACCCAGCCTGCAACCCCGCCTGTTGTCATGCAGTCTGAAACTGCTGGTTACCCAAGCAACTACCATCCGCAACAGGTTGACCAACATGGTGGCCACCTTGGACAGAGGAATCGTTCACTTCAGCCTTCTCAGAATGGTTATCGCATGTACCAGCGATATTACCCCCGAGGTTACAACAGTCAAAACATTCCTAGTTTCCGATTCCCGGTCCGACTGCCGCTATGCAAGTGCCAAAGCTCTGCAAGGACTTCTGACAAAAGGTAGGTGTACCATTCTCCCTGGTTGGCGCCTGGTTGATGATGGCGAGATGCTCCATCTCCAGGACTGCGGTGTCAGTCGGAACTAGCAGCTCAGAGAGTTGTGGTTACAGACTAGTCCAGAGGACTTGTGGCAACCGTATTTCACTGGTCCACAGAGTCTAGGTAGTCCTGCTTGTGACAAGATAGTTACTATGTTTCTATTTTCTGTCAGTTTTTCATTCCCAATTTAACTTCTTTGAGAGGCATTTAGAAGTTGGAGCAGTAAGGAAGGATAACAATATATGGATGAACAACTTCTTTATTGCTGTGAGATAATAACAAAAAAGAAGAATTGAGAACAGGTACAGAATGTATCACTCTAATGCTACTAGTAGTAGCACTCTATGTACTAGTCAGTGAATACATCACTGAATTCTCACTTGTGCTCGGCAGAAGTAAGAAGTCATTGACAAGTCTCAATTTTGGAGTCTTGCTGCTTTAAAAGAGGAATCATAAGATGAGGTATGGTGATGATACGAGGCAGTGGATCATGTTCTTTTCCATACATTCCAGACTTTTGTCTATCTACACCAGGAACATCCTTTTTTTTATGAATCCTTTATTTCATGGTCACTCCTTTTCCTAGTGATTTTACAGCAGTTTATGGATGGCATATAACGATATCTCATTGCCATGAGAAAATATTTTATAATTATGATTCTGTTATTTTAGAGACGCAAGTCTGGGTTTTTTTCACATAAAATAGTCAGGTAGGATAAGCTTCCATCTAATATTGTGGTAAGGTATAATCTACAGTATATTGGTAAAACATAGATATATCGGGTGAAGTATTCTGTGTATGTTTTGAAACATGCAGTGGGTGGGGGGTCCTTCAGGGGCTGTAACAATGGTTCGGTTCCACGATATCCTGTTAATTTCGCTGCTACTCCCAGCACACACACACCTACAGCCTTGTCAGTCTCCGGTCCTGAACAGTTTTTGTGTTACCATAGTGAAACATATCAAATATATATACAACTAAAAAACTAAAAAAACACCCGATTATGTCATTAGTAACATCATGACAGAGTAACTATAGAACTATATAAGAATCAGGAGTTATGTTACATTGTTTGAGCACAATGGCTGCAGATATCATTATTATTCACAACCTATGTACATAACCTATCCGATCTCACTTGTCATGTGTGTTTTCATTGTGCTGTGTATGAATGAATAGTGCTGTGTATGAATGAATAGTGCTGTGTATAATGAATAGTGCTGTGTATGAATGAATAGTGCTGTGTATAATGAATAGTGCTGTGTATAATGAATAGTGCTGTGTATGAATGAATAGTGCTGTGTATGAATGAATAGTGCTGTGTATAATGAATAGTGCTGTGTATAATGAATAGTGCTGTGTATAATGAATAGTGCTGTGTATGAATGAATAGTGCTGTGTATGAATGAATAGTGCTGTGTATAATGAATAGTGCTGTGTATGAATGAATAGTGCTGTGTATAATGAATAGTGCTGTGTATAATGAATAGTGCCGTGTATAATGAATAGTGCAGTGTATAATGAATAGTGCTGTGTATAATGAATAGTGCTGTGTATGAATGAATAGTGCTGTGTATGAATGAATAGTGCTGTGTATAATGAATAGTGCTGTGTATAATGAATAGTGCTGTGTATGAATGAATAGTGCTGTGTATAATGAATAGTGCTGTGTATAATGAATAGTGCTGTGTATGAATGAATAGTGCTGTGTGAATAGTGCTGTGTAGAATGAATAGTGCTGTGTAATATAATGAATAGTGCTGTGTATGAATGAATAGTGCTGTGTATAATGAATAGTGCTGTGTATGAATGAATAGTGCTGTGTATGAATGAATAGTGCTGTGTATGAATGAATAGTGCTGTGTATAATGAATAGTGCTGTGTATGAAATGAATAGTGCTGTGTATGAATGAATAGTGCTGTGTATAAATGAATAGTGCTGTGTATGAATAATGAATAGTGCTGTGTATGAATGAATAGTGCTGTGTATAATGAATAGTGCTGTGTATGAATGAATAGTGCTGTGTATAATGAATAGTGCTGTGTATAATGAATAGTGCTGTGTATGAATGAATAGTGCTGTGTATAATGAATATGTGTATAATGAATAGTGCTGTGTATGAATGAATAGTGCTGTATAATATAATGAATAGTGCTGTGTATGAATGAATAGTGCTGTGTGAATAATGAATGAATAGTGCTGTGTATAATGAATAGTGCTGTGTATGAATGAATAGTGCTGTGTATAATGAATAGTGCTGTGTATGAATGAATAGTGCTGTGTATAATGAATAGTGCTGTGTATAATGAATAGTGCTGTGTATGAATGAATAGTGCTGTGTATGAATGAATAGTGCTGTGTATAATGAATAGTGCTGTGTATGAATGAATAGTGCTGTGTATAATGAATAGTGCTGTGTATGAATGAATAGTGCTGTGTATAATGAATAGTGCTGTGTATGAATGAATAGTGCTGTGTATAATGAATAGTGCTGTGAATGAATGAATGAATGAATGATAACTGTACCAAGCAAAAAAGAAATAAAGTGAAAAAAACAAAACAAACATTATTCCCAGATGATGTGTAGGGAGTATGGTTTTGGTGTTATGTCCTTGAAGACTGAGCACAAGCAGCTAACACCACTAGCATCCGTCACTGCTGCTGGTGCAGGAGCCTGGTCTCTGTGACTGTTACCCAGTGTATCAGATATGTTCGTACAGGTATCGGGTAGTGTTGTCACTGTAGGTGTGTGACTATTGATACGTTTGATTGGCTGATTTATGGTGACTGTTTCCCACAAATTGCCATATCCCTGTCGGATCACAGAACTCGCGGCTACTTGAGGCAGATGAATCAGGCTGGGAAGGAAGCTCCATTGATGTCATTGTCATAAAGACCTGTATTGTCGGATCTGAATGAGTCGCAGCCGTCACTTTGATGTTTCATATTGAGGGGATATCACTGGGGTATTTATAGTAATTATTACAGTTACTTGTTACAAGGGATGGTCTGAACTTACAGTAATCCATCAATTGGTGTAGGTGGCTCTGAACTTACGTGGTTGTAATCGTTTAGTCAATTGGAGACGTTTGATAGGTGGCTGTACTGTAGAACGCTTAGTCTGGGGCGATAGTCTGAACACTGGCGTGGTTGTACTGTAGAACGTCTTAGTCTGGGGAGCGTTTAGTCTGGGGGGCGATAGTCTGAACACTGATGTGGTTGTACTGTAGAACGCTTAGTCTGGGGGCTGATAGTCTGAACACTGATGTGGTTGTACTGTAGAACGCGTTTAGTCTGGGGCGATAGTCTGAACACTGACGTGGTTGTACTGTAGAACGTTTAGTCTGGGGCGATAGTCTGAACACTCATGTCATGCAACCAGTAGGGACAATTGTGTGGAGAGTGTTTATACTGATACACCCTCGTATTAGTTACTTAATACTTGAAGCTAATATCCTTGGTGCAAGGGGACGAGCACAGGGTGCTGGAAATATAATGGGGAATTGGCAAATAATTCCTCTATGACTGGGGACCACTGTGTCTGGGGACCTCTGTGTCTGGGGACCTCTGTGTCTGGGGACCTCTGTGTCTGGGGACCACTGTGTCTGGGGACCTCTGTGTCTGGGGACCACTGTGTCTGGGGACCTCTGTGTCTGGGGACCACTGTGTCTGGGGACCACTGTGTCTGGGGACCTCTGTGTCTGGGGACCTCTGTGTCTGGGGACCACTGTGTCTGGGGACCTCTGTGTCTGGGGACCTCTGTGTCTGGGGACCTCTGTGTCTGGAGACCACTGTGTCTGGGGACCTCTGTGTCTGGGGACCACTGTGTCTGGGGACCTCTGTGTTTTGGGACCACTGTCTGGGAGACCACTGTACTGGGGGACCACTGTGTCTGGGGACCACTGTGTCTGGGGACCTCTGTGTCTGGGACCCTGTGTCTGGGGACCACTGTGTCTGGGGACCTCCTAGGAGACCACTGTGTCTGAGGACCACTGTGTCTGGGGACCTCTGTGTCTGGGGACCGCTGTGTCTGGGGACCACTGTGTCTGGGGACCTCTCTGTCTGTGGGGACCACTGTGTCTGGGGACCACTATGTCAGGGGACCACTTTGTCAGGGAGACCACTGTGTCTGAGACCTCTGTGTCTGGGGTCTGTCTCTGTGTTGTACTGGAGAAACCACTGTGTCTGGGGACCACTTTGTCAGGGGACCACTTTGTCTGGGGACCACTGTCTGTGTATTGTACTGGGGACCACTGTCTGTGTATTGTACTGGGGACCACTGTCTGTGTATTGTACTGGGGACCACTGTGTCTGGGGACCTCTGTGTTGTACTGGGCTGTCATCATGGTATACATGTATATTGATAATTATAATAACCATAACATGTACAGGTATTCCCATGGTCAGTGTGTTTATGGAAAATAACTGACATTGTGGACAGTGAGTTGATGATGTGCGTCAGTGGCGGCCGCGGATCTTAGGGATATGTATTGTTCCTGTCTCCGCCACTGCAGGATGTGACATGGCCATTATTCCTTTACTACAGTAAATATGTTTCCTGACCTCATTTCAGGAGGTGATGTTCCCACGTACAAAATTAGACTTGTGTATTAACAATACAGAATGTTTTGTCGTCATGTTTTAAAGACAATATGTTCACGTGATGTGACTGTGATTCCTTGTAAATGTACAGATGTTCACATTCCTGGTCCGTGATGCATGCACACCCACTCATTCTGGCCAAAACCGGGGGAGCTGTAAATCTCATCAGTGTTCAGCGTGATGGGTTAGCAAGATTTACAGGTGGTGTTGTTTTAATCAACTCAGTACACCTGACATGTTACAGTGTATGCACCAGCAGACGACATATACTGAAATAATAAACTGGTAACATACAGGTGGGTTGACAGGATAGTGACAGGTGTAACACATGGAACAAATCCCCAGACAAAACATAAA